AATCTTTCGACGTCGACCTAAGTCTTGCGGCGACGAGCTCAGGAGGTGGTTGTGATTCTTTCACCCTAGTGTAGTTGAGGACAAAACTTCAGAAATGTGACCGAAGGACACGACAGTTCTTATCTAAAGTTTTATGACGACGACCAAATATTTTCGTGACTTCCAAAAACCGGGTTTTATGTAAAGACTGGAGGACGTTTAATTCTTAGTAGGCTAGAGGTAGTGAGACCTGTGAAGACACCATTGCAGTAGTCCAGTCTACTGAAGATAAAAGCATGGACACGTTGTTCCAAATCCTGCTGTGACATTAGTCTTTTAATCCTATAGATATGTTCTTTAGGTGATAGTAGGCTGATTTAGTAACTGTTTTAATGTGACTATTGAAACTCAGGTCAGAGTCCATGAATACACCTAGATTTCTTGCTTTATCTGCTGTTTTGAACATTGCAGACTGAAGTTCAGCGCTAACTTCATAGGGTAAAAATGTAATAATAACAATGAATAGATATCACTATTTAGCTGTAATCCAGATACCCTTACAATATAATGCAATATCAAGTTACATTAACGCAAAAAGTCTAGACAAGCTCTTGCCACCCACATGCAGCCGCGCCTGATCAGGTCTCTACACGCTTCTCTTTCCAACGTATATTCTGATTGCTTAAATTAGATCATGAACATCTGCTCAGACAGACTGATGTACTCAAAATGAAAATCATGCATGTATATACAGTATGTGTGTAGCATCAGCAGACTCAGCAGAGAGTAAATGATATTCGAAAGTCTGGTCCATCTGTTCTTATAGGTTAGGGGTTACAGTTTGCAAAACAACAAAACAAATCAGTTACTCTTCAATGAATCTCAACGACTGTATATCCAGTAGAGGCCTCATTACCAATCACTACTGGGTGAAATGTCAGAGAGAAAGAGGGATGGAGTGGAAAGATAACCTCTGTCATTTACCCTGAGTGTGAGAGTGGTGTTAATGACTTGGCCCTCGCATCTTGAGGGGTGGGTGTTTGAACAGGAGTCGGCTGCATGGGCTGAGGAGAGTGTAGGAGGAGAGTGGGGATGATGTCTGATCCACGTAATGGGGGTGGGGGCTGCTGTGACTCACAGACAGCGAGCAACAGCAGCTCAGGTAGTAAACAAACTGGCTGCTGTCTCCATGGCAACTGGCCATCGCACTATTTCCTGGCAGAAGATATTGTTTTTTTGGGGACACACAAACGCACATACATACTTAATGGGGACCACCGACGGAGAGAGGTCGCACTGTTGGATCAAAACCAAGTGCACATGCCTGAATAAAAACATTTTCTTTAGAATACGGCCCTGGAAATAGCAATTGTTATTACTTTTACATAGGCTAGATGTTTCCCCCTCTTTTCAGGCTTTAGGGTAAGCTAAGCTAACCGGCCACTTGCCGTAGCGTGATATTTATTGTATTTATACGAAGGTGGTATCAATCCTATTATCCAACCAAATCCATCAAATCCTCACAAAAATGTGTTCCAACTACACAATTCTAAATTGTGTACAGCCTAAAAAAAGTGAACTGTAGACGTACTTGTAGGCGGATGTTGTTACTTTTGAGAGAACCAGCCTAAATGTTTCTTCTGTTTCCTGTCTTTATATGCTAAGCTTAGCGGCTGCTGGCTGAAATGTTTATTGTATTGATATGAAATCTATATCAATCTTTTCACCCAACCCACACACACACTAACACACACACGTTCCTGAATGTTTTGTCCTGTTACCCATCTATATGCTAAAATAAGCTAACTGGCAGCTGGCTGAGGTATCATATTGATATGAAAGAGGTGTCAATCCTCTCATCAAACTCCCTACAAGTAAGAGGATAAGTGTCACTTCCACATATGTTTATATATTTTTTGTGTACAGAAGATGATTAGGTACCCCAAAAAAATGTAAAATAATTCAAATATTGGTTTCACACGGCCCTTAATTTTCTTCCCGTATGTGTGTTGTCATTGTCGTCTTTTATACGTTGTGTAATCTGACCTGTCTGACTAGTGTCTCCTGTTTGTTACTATGCACCAAACTAGTTTCCCCTTATTTTTTATTAAAATAATAAACTCTTCTATTTATTAATGTATCTAAATGAAACACTTCTTCTATTACTGTAGATTTGAACATCCCTGTACGAGTCATAACTTATTCTTATGTGGCAAAAAGCACACTAACCGACACACTCACTTCAAATTTTCCATTGACAGTTGCTCCAGAGAAAAGGAGTCATCCAGTCACCCACGTGTGAAGTGGAAGCACCGAGGCCACAAATAAGTATTCTTCAGGCGTCCTCATACATCTGGTCTGACCTCATAAAACCACATCCCCATTCTGTGTGTGTGAAGTATATTTTCCAAGGTACAAAACAGTCATCTTTTTGTCTCTGAATATCTTTTATTCAATGCATTTATTTTCACATAGAAAAACATAGAAAAACAGAACAGAGTTGGTCATATATTAAATACTTTAAATAAATAACAAATAAATAAACACTAATGAGCATCTTCCAGACAGTGGTAGATTTGTTGTGTAAACTCATTTCTGTCCTTCAGCATTTAATAAATTACGGCTGCGTCCATGCAGCCCTGTATGTACAGTACAGGTGTCTCTTTCAGAGGCAGACATCGCCTTCAGGGCCGTCTCTTGTCACAGCTTCACGTGTCCTTCAGTTTCCAGCTCGGGCGGCAACCTCCGATTGCCCATAGTTACTCCATAACCTGGCGTGCAACTCCAGGTTGCATTTATTCCATGTAAACCTTTCCACTGTGTCCAGTTTAATACCGTTTTTATTTTAGCCTGACTTGGCCTTTCTGCTGAGCTCCAGGTACGTGGAGGACTTGAGGAAGCGAGGGTAGCAGTCCTTCTCCATCAGGGTGTAGATTTTAGCTTGGGCCAGGCTGAAGGATGACTGGCTGGCATTCTCAAGGTTCTCCTTCGTGATGGCTTTGGTCACATGGTCAAGATTTACCTATAGGGAGGCGGAAGAGGTAGATGATCATCAGCACTTTGCAGCAAGATAACAGACACAGCATGAATAGTGTATTTGGATATTATTATATTTACCTCTCGTGGTGCGTCACAGATGATGAACTGGTCGTAAATGTGCTTGGCTTTGGCGGCCAGTTTCGATGGTTTCGTCGCCCGGTAGTCCTCGCAAGCCAAGTAGAAGGCAATGTTTTCCTCACTGAACTCTGAGACCAGGAACGCTCTGAACAGGCACAGTCCATCTGGAAACAGAAGAGAAAAGCAGGTTAACATCTGGTATATCTAAAACATCTGGAATGACTGATACATTCTTATTAAGTGTGATGCGAAGGAGCGTGCGTACTTACTTTGACTGGACAACAGTCTCTCGAACGACTCGTTCCATTTCAAAGGCTCGTCGAGATTTAACCTGCAGCAACAGAAGAATATTGTTAGGAAAAGTTTTTAAATCCACAGATGTCCCCTTTGATTTCACTGACATGCTCGTAGAGACGATTTCAATCTGTGTCTTACCTCAGTTTGTCATTTTTCTTGGACAGGATGCTGTGATCTGACTTTTGCAGTAAACTTCCAAACAAAGCTTTTAACTCCTTTGCCCTGCAAAGATAAAGAAAGAGAAAATGTTACAACAAAAAACTAGTATTTAATTCCACTTGTCATATATCCTATAAGAACAGGAATAGCTTAAGTTATTCCATTACAACACTTAAGGATCTCACCTTTCCAGGCAGGTGGTAGGCAGTGATTCCAGTCCTCTGCACATGATGAGATGTTTCCTGGAT